AAGGGGAAGTGCATGGGGATTGAAGAGACGCAGATAGACGGCGACTAAAATGTACTCAGGGGTACATTTTAGTCGCCCTCTACATGACCCTCTGCGTCTCTGCAATCTCCACGCACTTTCCCCTTTCTCTGCCGGTTCGCCGTCTAGGCAAGGTGCCACCTAATACGTTGGCCACTTAAGATGTGGCCTAGACCTCGCCCATTGCGGCAGGTCAGCGAGTTTCCCGCCTTTCCCATGCTTTTTAGGTGCGGACGAAGGCGAGGTCAACGTGACCTATTGGCCAACTATAGACTGGCTATTTAGGAGACTTTACTACCGTCCCAGACACAAACAAACCGAGACACCAAACTTCTGGTTTATATAATGAAGTGATGATATGAAAATAGGTAAAAATAGGAGGAAACAATGAATAAGCGAACCGTTAATCCCGTCCATCCCGTTAATCGTCGTCATCGAAACCCTTTGACGACCGTGTGGCCCGCCGGTGGGCCACACTTTCACTCTTAGAGGCGACTCGTTTTTCGTCATTTATTTGGCATTTTTGAGTGTTTCAAAGCTGGCTGTATACATTATCGGAAAGCGCAAAACAATATGCTATTACTAATAATGAAATTGTTGGAGTGTTAATGGATATTGATGAAAAAATTTAAAAAGAAGTGAAGCAATGCACGCACAACGGCGGTCGTCAAAGGGTTAATACTATTGGATTTAGACAGACCTTTGGAAAGATTTCAAAGGTCCAAATAATTTATTATCCATTCGTGATTTTAAATAGCCGAAAAATCGTACTATTGCTGGTTTTTGGGTCGCATGCGCGTTTCCAGTCTTCAAACGAGCGTACCTTCTTTGAATTATTCTCGAAAACTGTGACGTGATGCAAGGTTTCTATTCCACATTGGTTCTGAGCCAGTCTGGAATGACAAAACTCAAAAAAAAACGGACAACTGATAATTTCTTGATTGCTGGCTTTTTAGGCAAGGCTTTACAGCTATTTTTATGCTTTTCAGGCAAAGATGCGAGTTCTTGAACCTTAACACATTGGCGACCAAGCAGTTTTTGGGTGTTCCCGAAAATTGCGTCCTAATGCTGAAACGCTTCCATACGGTGTACATACCAAATCAATGAGAACACAATGCGGAAACTGCTGAAACATCATTTGTCTCGTACAAATGCTTAATGGCTGCAAACCAAGCAAAAATCTCCCCGTCCCGCAAAGGTGAAACTTCGGAACGCTCTCGGAAAATTCCAATTTTCCACTGTAGAATCCACAAATGAGGTTGAACACAAATCTCTTTTTTGCCAATTGTTGTATCATTGAGCTAGCTAATAGCATACAAAAAGGCAGCTTTCTACATCAAGAAAGAACAACCTTATCACTGAAGAAGCAATTCCAAGCAACCCTTCTGTAAAACTTTCACTGTGAAAGATGTTCAAAGAACGTGGCCATTACAAGTTTGACAACGTATTCCGGGTTAATATAGCACCGCTCAAAATTTGGAATATGCGCAAAGGAATAAAATTCAAGGGGTGTCGCCCGGCATCGGGCGACATTGTCGCCAATGTGTTAATAGGACACAACTTGTTTCGAAATTGTTTACGTGTAAAACAAGGACTTTCTTGGACTACTCCACTACCCCTCCGTGAGTAAAGCTCAATCTGGCATGGAAAGTCTAGTGTACAATACCGCCACTAACTTTTGAAATTTCTCCGCTGAGCGACGGATTTGCAGCGTCGCAAAGCGTCGCCCCTTCATAACTCCCCCCAAAGCGGGTCAAATGATTGGTGCTCTACACCATTGGACTCGTCTCTCTGTGGCGAGTCTAACCATGTGGAAAACTACGGTACTCGCCGTAAAAAATCGAAAAAAAACACGCGAAAAACGCAAATTCGCGTTTTTTTTCGTTTTTTCGTTATAACTCGCTTCAGAATTAAGATTTTCGAAATCTGAAAAAAGCATTGAACTCAGCTCGTCGAGTTCTATAAGAATATGCTTTTAAACTTTTGGAAAGCCCTACTTCAGATTGCGCCATGCACTCGAGCTTTGGCTCGAGAAAAAATTGTTTGAATGTGGTGCGCATATAATCCCGCTTATGCATCATGATCGTTCTTCAGAGAGATGGGTCTCAGCAGTTGCCCCAGAACGCGCCGCGTATTCAACATCGTCCATTGTATTGTGAATGGATCGATTGCTTTTTTCCAGATTTCATGGTCCCTATTCCATAGCGGCGCGTTAAATGACTTAACACGTAGTCCCTGCGCTCAACATCTCCTCCTCTCGTGTTCAAATGGAAATCATAGATCAATTCTCGGCTGGACAGTTAGCCTATCTGGTGAAATTTTCCAATGTTTGAGCGAAGGTTTTTCCGAAATCTGAGGAGGTAGCGGGGAAATTTCTTCTTAGTTGTAGAGTACGCTTACTTGTGTGTAGGAATAAGATCACACACTTGCTTGCAGATGACCGCTCCCTGCGTGCTGTGGCCATGAACATGCCTCCTCGTCATGCCCTAGCCTATTTGGTGAAATTTTCCAATGTTTGAGCGAAGGTTTTTCCGAAACTGAGGAGGTAGAGGGAAAATCTCTTTACTGTTGTAGAGTACGCTTACTTGAGTGTAGAAATAAGATGACATACTTGCTTGTAGACGAGCGCTTCCGCCGTGCTGTGGCTGTGAACATGCCTCCTCGTCATGCCCTTGTGGAAAGATCAGATTTTTTGCATTTCCAGATGAACTCGCAGACCTGAAATGTGCCCCGTTAGATTCCCCGTGAAAAATGCTATCGAATGATATGCATTACTTCCCCCAGTTGAAACTTTGGTTTTTCACCGTTTTCAGCCTTCCCCTATTGCCGATATCCCACGATTACTGCCCCAAAATCTCAAAGTTTCATTTTTCGTCGAAACTTTGTCTATTGGGGTAATTCGATGCCCTGATTACGAATATGACATTCATTCTCGTAGTGTGCCCAAACACCTAACAACCAACAAACCAAACAACAACAGTCTTCTATGTTCATCTGGAGAACCAAAAAAATCTGATCATATCGCAAGGGCATGACGAGGTGTGATGTTTGGGGTCACACTACGGAAGGAAGACTCACCTGCCACCAAGGTTTCTATGTAATTCCTACAGACAAGTGACCGTAGTCTACGACAGTAAAGGAAATTCGTCGCTGCCTTCACAGCTTTCTACATAACATCTGCTCTAAACATGGAACATGTCGCAAAAAATGGGGCGAGGTGTGATGTTTGGGGCCACACTACGAGAATGAATGTCATATTCGTAATCAGGGCATCGAATTACCCCAATAGGCAAAGTTTCGACGAAAAATGAAACTTTGAGATTTTGGGGCAGTAATAGTGGAATAATGATGCCCAATCGGCAATAGGGGAAGGCTGAAAACGGTGAAAAACCAAAGTTTCAACTGGGAGGAGTAATGCATATCATTCGATAGCATTTTTCACGGGGAATCCAATGGGCACATCTCAGGTCTGGTCACGGTTGCTTGTTCATCTGGGAAATGCATAAAATCTAGATCTTGTTCACAGTAGGGCATGAACACGATGGAGGATTTTCACAGCCGCCAACGGATATAGCGCTCGTCTAAGCAAGGTATGTCTTAATTTTTCTATTTTCTTAGTTCTAGCACTCAGTTAAGGCGCTCTTCTACAACAGTAAAGAGATTTTCCCTCTACCTCCTCAGGTTTCGGAAAAACCTTCGCTCAAACATTGGGATAATTTGCACCAAATAGGCTAGGGCATGACGAGGAGGTATGTTCATGGCCACAGCACGCAGGGAGCGGTCATCTGCAAGCAAACGCGTGATCTATTTCTACACACAAGTAAGCGTACTCTACAACTAAGAAGAAATTTCCCCGCTACCTCCTCAGATTTCGGAAAAACCTTCGCTCAAACATTTGGAAAATTTCACCAGATAGGCTAACTGTCCAGCAGAGAATTGATCTATGATTTATCATTCTGAAACTTGATGGATGCGATGGAGATGGTCTTGAGAGTGTTCAGGTGACTAGTGTTAGAGTAATTTTTAACGCGCCACCATGGATTAGGAACATTGAATCTTGGAGTAAGGAATGGCAATCGATCTATTTCACATACAATGGGCGATATGTTTGAAATGCGCGGCGCGGTTCTGGTGGACAACTGGCTGAGACGTCATTCTTCAAAGTAGACGAGTCATGATGCATAGCGGATTATTGGTCGCTACCACTTCCAACAATTTTTTCTCAAGTCAAGCTCGAAGTTGCATGGTGCGCAAATTGAGTGGGGGCTCTTCCAAAGGGTTTTTTGAAAACAAATTCTTATAGAACTCGACGAGCTGAAATCAATGCTTTTTTCAGATTTCGAAAATCTTAATTCTGAAGCGAGTTATAACGAAAAAACGAAAAAACGCGAATTTGCGTTTTTCGCGTGTTTTTTTTTCGATTTTTTACGGCGAGTACCGTAGTTTTCCACATGGTTAGACTCGCCACAGAGAGACGAGTCCAATGGTGTAGAGCACCAATCATTTGACCCGCTTTGGGGGGAGTTATGAAGGGGCGACGCTTTGCGACGCTGCAAATCCGTCGCTCAGCGGAGAAATTTCAAAAGTTAGTGGCGGTATTGTAAAGTTGGTATAGAAATTTTTGTATCATGTTATCTTTTCATATTTTGACAACATGCGATGTTTTCTAGAGTACGCGGCACCCGTCGTTGATTGAACTTTCTTCAAAATTGTTTTTTTCTAAGCTGGTGAGCTTTGAGAAAAAAAAGCATTGTAAACTAGAGAAATGCTGAATACAAATGTCATAAAAATGACTTGATACGTTCAGTACCAAAAGTGGCCCAGTTGAGGAACATTGCCCGAGATCCGTCGAGAGATTCTCCTTTGTTGCCTTGAAACTCAAACGGCTACACGGCTACACTCGTACATGACTTGTTCAGCATACTACCTACTCATGTGTGAATAGTAGGGAATTTACAAAAACTGTTATGGATACGAATCTTTTATTTGCACATACACAGTAGACCCATAATATTATCAAAATCACAAAGTTGATGGAATGACTTGCAAAATGTGTATCCGTAAACATCCAGACATATAAATCTGATGTGTTCTGGTAACCTGAAATAGGAGTGTTAAACACAAAGAGTCAATCAACACAGCGTAAATGCAAGCAGAGCAGAACATAGTAGAGAATTCATTTTGTGAGGAAAATCGTGAATGATAGTGCGCTTCCTATATTAGGATGGGCTACTGTAAATTTGTTCCAGACTAGGTTTCAGCCGTCTTCGTTTTATCTAAAAATAAGAAATAAGGGTAGAAGTGGAGGTGGTTAGTGGTGCAGGAAAAAAACATGAGAAAAGGCACAGAGCCCTAGAAATGGGACCTTTTATTTTTGCGTTGATTTCCGCAAACATGTCACCCTCATCGGTGCAGCCCACTTTAACAATAACGCCCACTCTCTATTAAACGGTAGAGGGTCAGGCAGTAGAATGGAGGCATACCGCGCCGATAGCGGGGAGGGTAGGGCCACACTATGTATGTACATTACCGGTATTTTTGTCGCTGCTAATTGCATGTCGGTCCGCATCTTTAGGAGATACTCCCATCTTCCCACTAGAGTGTTCAGTTCTTCGACCTCAGACCTTATCGTGGAATCCTCTGAGAACTTCTCACTCACCCGGAAATATCACCACCTTGGATGCAGACCTTCGTGCTCAACAGGACTACTAAACACCCTACCCAGCCTCATTAGCGCTCAAGGCTGACCAACGTATACATTCTGGCTTAAATCCAATCGATTATTACCTTAATTCGTGGAAACGCGCTTTGCCCCATTATTACCTTCCAAGAGAGCAAAATCTGCTCTATATAACACTTTGGTGAAAACGCTATGGTGGGACCTGCTCTAAGCTGGAGAAGAAATATTTGGGGTGCCTTCGCGTCACGGTAAAAAAGACTTCCCTTCATGTGTAAGAACCTGCAAGCCTGTATTTGAGCCCAGTGGAACAATTCAAATGTGATTGCATAATTTGTAATGGTTTTATTTCAACAAATTGTCATTGAAAATTCAGCCCACAGACTATTGTTTCGTAGTTTTTATGAGGGTAGATATGGGAGCAAGTAATTTTGGCGCACCCTAAATAAAGCATCTACCTAAAACGCGACATTTGATTGCGTTTTGGAACACTTGTGGTATAGTTGTAATAAGAGCGATCAACAGGATCATGGCGAACGTTTCTGCCCACCCGCTCCACGAATTAATGCAGCAATCGGTGGGGTAGCATCTTTCACCATGTTATCAGCATTGAACAGGAATGCTCGTGACGCTAAAAGGCATCGTTACCCCTGCTCCAGTTCAACCGCGCGCACCAACGTCAAAGCGGGTCACGATGGCACTGGATCTGCGCACTGTAAGACCCGTCTTATCTAGTGGACATGAACAGTGTGGTGGAAATGTGTGACACATGGGTTTGAGCAAATCAGAGTACGGCTTCCTCTCCCCTCCCCTCACTCAATGAAGTAACACTTCAACAGAAGTCGTTGCGAAGGGTATTCTATTACCTATTAATATACTCTGTTCATATATTCTATTTATATTCTGTTCAGTGGGTGGAATAAAGATGCACACGAGTATCACAGATATGTGCAGTTGTTGCCCTTGTTTAGGGCTTCAGTTACGGTTCTCCCTGCTTCTTTTCCATTTTTAGTCAAATCGGCATCCACAACTCTATTAGCGACCGCTGTAGCCTCACAAATTGGTCTGGGGTGTTGCTTTAAGTACAATAGCTGTCACTTAAAGGAGGAACGATTAGAATGAAGGTCGAAGAAAGGGAAACTGACCTAGTTGAGGGACCCACGGACCTCCTGAGGGTGCGAACTGACGCGCAATTCGCATGGAAAAATTTGACCTCGGCGACCTATCATGCCTCAAAGCTGGCGGGTCCGGCGATCTCCGCCCACCGATCATCTGATCACTCGCCGTAGTTCAATACGTGGCGAGTGATTAGATAGCTGAGAGAGCGTAGTGTTGAAGAGGGCACAGCGATGAGAGTCGCATCAATGCTCAAATCAACGGGCAAGGAAGGGGTCCCATTTCTCGGGTTCTGGGCCGTTTCTCATGGTTCTTCCTTCTTTCGTGTACCACTCACCATCCCTAGGTTAATTTGAAATGGGTTGCTTTTTCATCGTGAATTCGTCCTTTAAGATAATGTGACCTCATAGAATGCTTCGTTGCCTTTCAAACCCTCCGCCCCCTCCCCCGTATCCCCACCTTTTACCTGTTTTTAGACAGGAAAACTTTTTTCTAAGAAACGTTTCACCAGAAGCCCACCTCTGCGCCTGTTTATTGTAGCAGATAACAGTGAAACACTCACCCGTAGCGAACGACAGTCAATCCGTTTGATGCTTTCATTTTTCTTTTGTCTGACAAATTAGGAGCTACACAACGGGGCTACAGAAAGGTGCTTCTGCACTGTGTTGTATTTCGCCACGGCTTGCACTGAAAGAGAAGCTCCTATGATGGTATTACAATTGACGGCACAATACTAATAGCTTATAGATACATACGTGGCGTATTTCACAGAAGACCTCTTCTGAATCACCGATTGTCCTCTTCTTTTTGGCGGGTAGAAAACCGACAAAAGAACATCTTTCGAGGCTTTACGGAATCGTGCGGAAACCACATTGTACAGGATTGGATTTACAATAGGCGCCAGGTAAAACAAAAAACCTATAAAGATGTTACTTTAGTCGAGAGCCTAATTATAACTGTAAATTATGTACAGTTCCGTCAACTACGTATTACGCTTAGAGTCAATACTACCAGCATTTGTTCTGAGGGAAAAGTACACCCATCGCCGGGCGACAACAGTAGATGTTTTTTAACGACTAGTGAGCTGTAGTACTGTGTAGCGAATGGCAAGCTTATTTATTTATTTTGCGTACAATGGACGCGCTCTCTAGGTCTATATATGTGTTAGGATGGTAAGAAAGTCCTGAGCCGTTTGACACTTTTTTGTT